CACAGTCAGCACAGTGCCTGACGCAAAATGGGCACTTAGAAAATTTTTCATTGACTAAATAGATGAATGAATGAATGAAAAAGTGAAGGCACAAGGTTTCTAAGCAAGCAGGAGGGTCTGGGATGAAGGGCCCTGGTGGAGGGGCTGACCTTGAACAGGGCTCGGTACCCTCCAGTGATGGTGGAAAGGAGAAAAGGATGGAAAGTGGACTGAGACAACTGTGGTCACGGTGGGGAGAAAGGGGCTGACGTCAGATGGCCTTAGGAGGGAAGGGGAGATAATTCACAAGGTTGCCAGGCAACAACCAGCTGCAGAACATTAATCTGCAATTGAATCAACCTGCCATTTTCAGGAACTATCCTGTTTGCAGGGAGAAGGAGACAGGAGCTGAGAAAGGGGTGATGGCGTCCTCTGCCAGGAACTGGGGACCAGCCTGGCAGGCTCTGAAGCAGGACAAGGGCAGCAATCTAGGTGCATCGCACACACCTGAAACGACAAACTGTGAAGCCAGGCTGGGGAGGGAGGAACGTGAGACCTGGAAGGGCAGGTGGGTTATGGGGACTCAGGCAGGGGGAGGAGCTGGAGGTCACAGCAAAGGTAGATTCAGCTGGAGCTTCTGGAGAGAGAGTGGGACAGGAGGCGCTGGGTGAGGAGAGGCAGCAGTTCAGGGAGTCCAAGAAGACAGACCAGGTTCACAGCTCAGCTCTCTCACCTCCCACCTGGGAGGCCTGGGGCAAGCATCTTACCCTGGCTGACCCTCACTTCCTCGTCTCTAAAATGCACCTGAGTGAAGACTGCTCTCACCTAGGTGCTTTTAGAATTATTTTCCCATTTCAAACCACTATCAGATATTGCTAAACAAAATATTTTCCAACGTTTCATGATAAAAATGTTCAAACACACAAAGTTGAATTTTAATGTGAACACTCATATGCCCACCACCTAGGTTCTATAATTTATATTTTATTGTTCTCAATCTCATATCTATCCATCTGCCCATCTTATTTTTCATGCATTTCAAAATAAATGCACAGGGGTCGGCCCCATGGAGTAGCAGTTAAGTGCATGCACTCTGCTGCTGGCGGCCCAGGTTCGGACCCCGGGCGCACACCGACTCACCACTTGTCAGGCCATGCTGTGGCGGCGTCCCACATAATGTGGAGGAAGATGGGCACGGATGTTAGCTCAGGACCAGCCTTCCTCAGCAAAAAAAAAAGAGGAGGATTGGTGTGGATAGCTCAGGGCTGATCTTCCTCACAAATAAATAAATAAATAAATAAATAAATAAATAAATAAATGCACAGGACACTTTGCCCTAAACAGTTCATTAACTAGAGTTCAATATTTGTTACACTTCTTTCTTTTTCAATGAAATTTACATACAATGGAATGCACAATCCTAAGTGTGAATTCAACGAGTTTTGACAAAATTGTGCATTCAATGGGTTTTGACAGTCTGCAAACAGGGTTCTGGGCTTGATTTTGAGTATCAAGTGAGCTAATATGCCCTGTGAGGGTCCATTCAACAATGGACCAGTGTTATTGTCAAGATATGGGAGGCAACACCGTCCCCAGGGTGGAGGCCAGGATGTGACCCAGGGCTGTGGGAAGCAGAAGGTGGGTAGATGTGAGGAGCTAGTGTGAGGCCTGCATGGGGTGGGGGGGCATTAACCTGTAGGGAAAGCCTCCAGGGACTATTGCACTATTGCAGGGAAGAGTAGAGAGGAAAATAACTAAGGAAAGGGGGAGAATATTCTGGAAGTCAGCTGGACGCAGCAGGATGGATGACGTGCGGGTAAGTCTGTGGTAGCGGAAATACCAATGATAATAGCAGACGCTTTTTACTTAGAACTTACTATGTGTCAGAGACCAAGCAAATGCTGCCGGCGTCTCATTTAACCCTCACCAGGACCCTCTCAGTAAGTACCAGTATCATCCTCAAGCCTGTGACTTGCCTTAGATGGCACACAGTTAGGAAGCGCCAAAGCTGGGATCCGAGCCCTGATTGCAAAGCCTCCTTGCCTTGCCCTGCGCACAGACTCCAGCTGACGTCTGGGTCTCCACCCAGCTTCTGATTCGAGAGGACTGGGGTGCAACCTGGGCATGGGGGTGGGGGTTAGAGCTCCCCAGGTGACCCTAATGTGAAGCGTGGGTTGAGAGCCACTGCTGAAAAGGCGCAGGTGGGCATCACATGAGACGTGAGAGAGGAGGACGGGGGAGAGAAGGCCGAGGCTGGAGTGGGGGCGCCCTCTGCTCTCTCTGGGCCCCTGAGGCGGGTGGGCAGCCTCTCCAGCTCAGCCTGAGAGCTCACCTTCCCACTCGGGCAGCAGGTGAGGCCAGAAGTCGTGGACCCACATCCCCCTCCCCAGCCCCCTGCCCTGGGACAGACCGTGGACAGACGCCCACTTTGCCTGAGCACCTCCCAGGTGTCACTGTTGCCCCAGCACCTTCACACCCTCAAGGCCCCGTTGCCTGGGGCAGGTGACTGAGTCGTCATCCGCCTCTCCCTTTTCCGCTATCAATAACCAATTAGGAAGCCGAGGCACTGCCTCCTGACAGCAACAGCGTGTGCAGCTCATCAGTAGTGATGTTTCCCAAGGCCGGCTGGCAGGCGGGAGTGTGTTCAGGCGTGCAGTTGCCTCTGGGGAGTCTCCTCCCAGGGAACATTCTCCCCTTGACATCATATATTTTGTACCCCCTCACCCCAAATCTAAACTCCAGCAAAGAGATGAAAGGGCCGATCATATCCACCTCTTAACCCCCCGGGCCTCATCCAGACCCTGGCTTACAGCAGGTGCTCAACACGTGGAAGGAAAATGGAACAGACGCATGGCCAAATACCTCACCGAACATCTCCCTTAACTGTCTGTGAAAAATCCCCGGGAAACTCACGCAAGGCCGTTCTTACTGACAGAAACCTTCAAAAGGCTGGAACCCCATGTATTCGTTTTCTGTTGTGTTGTAACAAATCACCACAAACTTAAAGCTTAAAACAACACAAATTCCTTCTCTCACAGCTCTGTAGGTCAGAAGGCCAGGTACAGCATGGCTCACTGGGCCAAAATCAAGGTGTCACCAGGCTGTGTTCCTTTCTGAAGATCCTGGGAAAGAATCATATAGAAGCTCACCCACATTGTTGGCCAAATTCAGTTCTGTGTGGTCATGGGACCTCAGCCCAGGGCCCCACTCAGCTCCTCAAGTCCACCTGCATTCCTCAGCCTGTTGCCTTCCCCGTCCCGTCTTCAAACCAGCAAGGGCAGGTCGAGTCCTCCTCGTTCTTCAAATCTCTGATTCACCTTTCAGCCATGTCATTTCTGCCTGTAGCTGAAGAACATTCTCTGCTTGTAAGTGCCGGCTGATTAAAGTGGGCCCACTCAGATAATCCAGGATAAGCTCCCTATTTTAAAGTCTGCAACCTTAATTACATCTGCAAAGTCCATTTTGCCAGGTAATGTCACATATCCACAAGTTCCAGAGATTAGGGCAAGTTCATCTTTGGGGGACTATTATTCAACCCACCATACCCCTCCTGGGAGGAGGAGGACCCAGAAGTAGGAGAACAGAGACTTGAGTTTCAGGCCCAGCTCTCCTTCTTGGTCGTGTGAACACAGGACAGGAATTGTGTCGCCTATCTGAGCTTCAGTTTCTTCCTCTGTAGGATGCGGACACACCAGAACTTACACCCTAGGCTCACGGAAAAGAGCAGTTGCATTCACGCATGCCAAGGGTTTATGGGTGCCTGGCACACAGCGTTGTCATCGTGAAGATGGGCAGGGTCCACAGGGTGGGGAGGAGGCTGGGCCCCAGGGGCTGGGATCTGATCTCCAACTTGGTAGACACAGAAACTGGATTTTCTGGTCACCCAGCTAGTCAAAATATTGGAGCCAGGGTTCCACCCTGGCCTTACCAGTTCCAAAACCCTCTGCACACCAGTCGGTGCCGGCCTCTGAGAGGGCCAGCCTCCACAGGCTCTATGCCTGCTGCCTGTTTCAATGGCAGCTCGGGGCAGGTGTCCCTCTGGGTCATGGCCAGCAGGAGGGAAAACCTTGGATTCACAGATGAAGCTTTTTAGGGAATTACCCTCCTTACCCTCCTTAATCCTTGGGAGGAGAAGCTCCCTCATGTGTGTGAAGTGTGTGCACAGACCTTGTCACACTTCCCCTTCACTGCAGCCCTACGAGGTAGGAATGAATGATTCCCATTTCACAGATAAGGCTCACTGAGGCCCGGAGAGGCTAAAGGGAGAAGGTGCAAACAAAGTAGGTATCCACGAGGTTCTGGGCACCGGGCACGGTGCTCTATGTACTTCACCTTCACAGGACTCCTCCCCAAGTTATTTTCCTCATTTCCTGGAGGAGAAAAGATCTCAGAGATGGGGAGAGATCTGCCAGAAAACCCTTCCTTTTTCCATCAGACAAGCTTCCCATGTGGGCAGAACATGCAGTCTCCGTGACTGTGTTCTCACTGGGGCGAGGGCTGTCTCAGCTCCCTCCCTGCGTGCCCGCCTGTGCCCACGAACAGTGGCACCCCACCACCGCCTGTTGAATGTGAGTACACGCTTCTCTCTGGTGCAGTCGGCCCCCTCGTGCAATGAGCCTGCGGAAGAACAGCCAGGGGGCCAGAAATCAAGTCTGGGCTCTGGAACAACCAGGGCTCTGCTGAAAGCTTATAATTTCCCGTTACCACAGCAACACGACCGGCTCTGTTCCCCGGGGATGTGAGCAGCGCTGCTCCCCACCCCAGTCTTCCCCCCAAGCCCCCTCAAAGTTCCTTCCATCCCTGAGATCCTGTGATTCAATGAATTATCACCAGTGCCTGCACTGTTTTTGCCGTTTTCATTTATTCCATCTGCTGAGTCACCGAGTCCTGCTCCGGATTAGAGTGGTTATTCACCAGAACATTCGGCCGCTGGTTGTCGTGGACACCTCGCAGCCTGCTTCCTTCATCACCTGTTCATTCTCAGCAAGGCTGGCTGTGCGCGTAGGTATCACTGCCCCTTATCCAGGACCCAAGGGGCATCAAACTCCCCCAGACGAGGAGGGGCCCTGATGACGCAGGAACAAGAGCAGAATCTCTAGTCCCGACTATGGAAAAATCAAAAACAGCCTAGAGCTGGTTACATCCATCCCAACGTGGTGGAGGCAGCAATTTATCAAATAAGTCAACAAGCACACCCTTTGGTTTTCTGGTACATCTTGGGCAAACACTTTAGTCTCTTTGCTAACCATTTTAAGATGTATTTTTATATTGAAAAGCGGTGAATGTGTTACGCAGATTACTATCTCCCCTTGAAAACAAAATGAGGGAGCCTATGAATGCACGAGCCTCAAAGGATCGGCTCTGTTAGGGGGTTGCAAGGGATGGGGGATGAGGGGCCGACCTGGGGTGACGGGTCTGCAAGCTAAATCCAGCCCAGCACAGAGGGCATGAGGAGGGGGGACGCTCAGGGTTTTCCAGGTAAGGGGAGGTGAAGGGGCTTAGAGACGACCAGCTCACAGCCACTAGGCAGAGAGAGCAGGGCCATCAGCCCACGGCCCATTGCTCCTGATAACTGCGACACGTCCTGTTTGCAGAGCCTGGCAGAGGGGACGGGGGATCAATATGTCACTCCACGTTCACCCACTCCCTGCTCTTCAAACATCAATGTGTCATGAAATATGCTTCTCTGATGCTAAGGTCATTTGGTCCGTCCTCCTCACCTGCGCCCCAATGGGATGTGGTCCAAGGGATGAGCACTAGGCCTCTGACCCCAAGGACAAGGCAGGGGACACTGTTCCTGACCCCAGGGAGCCTGTCTCCTACCTGCCCTCAGACTCAGCTGAAGAACTGCCCCCACTCGGCTCCTGCCCCTCGCCATGGAGGTCAGCTCCCCTTCCCTTCCCTCACATCCGGATGACTGACTGACTCTAAGTGACAGGGTGGGGCAGGGGTGATGCACCTGTACCCACCCCCTTCCTCTCACTGTGGGCAGCCTGGCCTCGTGGGGGAGGAGGGTTTGGGAGGGACTTTGAGGGCTTTATAAGGCAGGGCTGGAGCCCCAAGCAGAGCAGAGAACCAAGAGGCACCAGGCCACCGCAGCATCTCCTACCTCCGAGCTCTGCAGGTGAGACACCCACGAGGGAAGGGGAGAGGCTGGGAAGAGGGTTGACGAGACCCCTCCCCCCATCAGGGTACCAGGCTCACACTTCAGTGTCTCCAGGGCTGAGATCCTTTCTCTAGCCCAAGGCCAGACCAGGCCTCAGCTCTAGGACCCACCCTGGCCTTTGCAACCCTTGCCTTCGAGCTGACCTGCTACTTCAACCAGGGCCCTGCCCTGCCCCTCTCACTCCACGCTCACCTTACCCCTGTGAGGTGAGAAGGACAGGGGCTATTCTCCCATCTCTCAGGAGAGAAAACTGAGGCCCATAGGGAGATGTGACTTACCCAAAGTCATACAAATCATTGGGCAGGGCTGGGTCTGGACCCCAGGGCTCCTGGATCTCATCTCAAGCGCTTTTCTAGACCAGCACTGTCTAAAAGAGCTTTCCACGATGACGGTAATGTTCTCTCTGCACTGTCCATTACGGTATCCACCAGCCACATGTGCACTGGAAATGTGGCGCATGCAAGGGAGGAATTTTTCATTTTAATTAATTTAGACGTAAAGAGCCACGTGTGGCGAGTGGCTACCATAGTGGACAGCATGGCTCTACATCACTGATTTTCGACTTTGTTTCTTTAGCAGCAAAACTCTTTCTCTTCCAAGGGAAATCTGACTATGCAAAACAGATTAAAGCAGTGTTTTAGTCATACAAATGTGTTCTGAGGAGGTACAATTTTTATCGTTTACTTCTGATAAAGCCAATCAGAACAAGGAAGCTAAAAGAACACAAAGATGTTGAATCCAGAGAACCGAATTTTAGATTTGAATTTTCGGTTTGTTTGAGTATCCAGGTTACTCTGTATTGTGGTTCCTCCAAACTTGATTCACCCTGATACATGGCTGGGAATGGTGACAATTTAATTTTCTCTTAATTACAACCACAGGATAGTCCTCAGTTAAGCAAAAAAGGCAGGAGACCCTCCCCTCCGAGGGCTGCACAAAGACGATGTGACCCAGCACGCGTGAAGGTGCTGGGGTCGCCAAAGAGACACCCTGTGGTCTGCAATGCAGCTGAGTGTGCATTTCTTTGGTATTACTATTTAAAAGTTGGCTTTAAATTACAAGACTTAAACATCTACAGAGCCACTCACATGGCCTCAAACTCTGCAGAGCAGTTTGGAAACTACTGCTCTAGGTTTTAAAATCCTCCGAGAGAAGCAGTTGCTGTAACTGGGGAAAGTAAGGAGGAAAGGCCCAGGCTTGGCGGCCGGGGAAGCCGACAGGAGCTGGAGAAACGAACTGGAGGAACAGTCCACAACCCCACGCAGAACTGCAGAGCTGTCAGCAGGGAGGGCCTGGGGTGCATCTGGTCCAGGGCCCAGCCTCTGGGTGCCTGGACAGCCCGCCTTTAAGCTCGGACCCCCTCTCCTTTGCAGACAAGATGCGGCGACTGTGTGTGTATGCGCTGATCCTTGCACTGGCTCTGGCCGCCTTCTCCGAAGCTTCTTGGAAGCCTCGCTCCCAGGTGCAGGACGCGCCCTCGGGTCTGGGGGCCAATAAGGGCCTGGAGCCACGTTGCCCAGACCGGCTGGATGGGCTGGGTCCAGCCTCTCATCACCGAAGGCAGCTGGGGCTCCAGGGTCCCCCACACCTGGTGGCAGGTAGGAGCTGCTGACAGCCATCCCGGCTTCCTTTGCCCGCCAGGTTTGGCTTAGGCCTCGGTCTCTAGAGGCTGGGCATGCTTCCTCCATCCTCACCCCCTCTCCCTCCTCTGACCCTCAGACCTGTCCAAGAAGCAGGGGCCGTGGGTGGAGGAAGAAGAAGAAGCATATGGATGGATGGACTTCGGCCGCCGCAGTGCTGAGGAACAGGACCAACGTCCCTAGAACTAAGCTTCACAGCCCAGCCATCTCCTAGCCCAGACCAGCCCTGCCCCATGAAAAACCAATCAAAATAAACTAGCTTCCAAAAGATCACTCTGTGTCAAGTGTCCCGGGGCCGGGGAAGGGAATGGGTTGGAGGCAAGACTGAGGCAGGGAGGAGAGTTGAGCGCCCCCTAGGGGCAGGGACTGCGGCTAATTCTTCTTGGTGTCCCCAGAGCCTAACATCAAACAAGAATCTACACCGGTGAGTGGGAGAAGAGGTGGTGGGGTCGCAACTGGAGAAAGCTTTCTAAAAGATAAAGAAAATCATGCCACTCCAGGTTTAACCATCCAACACTTCCCATCGTACTTAGAATAAAACTTAAACTCCTTGCCGAAGCCTACAAGCTAGCCCTGCCGTCCCTGTTGTGGGCGCCGCCATGGGTGCGTTCCTTCCTCCTCTCTCTCCCTCTCCCTTACACAAATGCACCATGTTCTTTCCTGCTCAGAATCTATGTCTTTGCTGTTCCCTGCATCTGGAATGCTTTTCTTCAGGCACAAACGTGGCTGGGTCCCCTTTTTCTCCTTGAATTCTTGGTTGAAATGCCGCTTCCTGAGAGACCCACCCTCTCTGCCCCTCACCCTTCACACACGGACCCCAATATCCTCTAATCACAGCATAATATTTTCTATAGAGCACATTTTCACATTCTGTAGTTGCTTTGTTTGCCGATTTATTGTCTGCCTTCCCGGTTAGAAGGAAAACTCTGTAAAGTGGGGACCACGTGTCCCTCTTCCTTGCTGTATCCTTGGTGCCAAGAACAGGAGGTACCCAATAAATATTTGTCAAATGGATGGTCGAGTGGTGGGTGCAGGCCCTTGGTGTTTCACCCATATTCCCTCACTGTTCTGTGCCTGTCGGCAGCACCCCACCACAGGCACAGGCTACTCTCCACCTGAGGGCTTTCTGAGTGCAAGGCAGGCTGGGAATGCTGAGGAGTTAGCACCTCCAGAAGCATCTCTCAGTCAATGACAGATGAGAGGTGGAGAATAAATACCCCAGCTCCCTCACCCTTCTGGTGGGGTAACTCTGAGCTGTGTTCAACTCTGTCTCCCAGAGGTCCCAGCAGGACTGAGCCCCAGCTGCCCATGGCAGGAACCTGCTCAATGTTACCCTTTATTGGCTTCCTTCCCTTGCCTGTCTCATGCCCTCACGCTCTCACTTGTGTTTCTTGGGATCACCACCCGAATAAACCACTAGCACTCAAATCTTTATCTCTGAGTCTGCCTCTGACTCCTTTCCCAGAGGACATCAGGAACATGTCAGTGAGGAGACATAAGCAGTAGTTATCCTCTGTAGTCCAGAGTTGATGTAGAAGATGCTACTCTGGGCCCAGGCTACCTAGTGTCAATGGGGATGACAGGATTGCAGGACAGAGGAGGCCAGGTGGCAGCACTTAATCATCAGAGGCAAGGTGGACATAATGAGGAGCAAGACCAAAATGGCCTCCAGGAGGCCTTGGCCAACAGGATTTGTCGTGGTGGCTAATAGACCTTGGTGTTCCTAGACTTGAGATATATGGATGGCCAGTGAGGGTACTGTTTGCCCTATGCAACCAGAACAGATCAGAAGCAGATGTGCCAATGGCTGATGTTAGCTGCCAAAATGGAAAATCAGGATCCCTTGCCTGGTTTCCAAATTTGCATCAATTCTCAGACCAATCATTTATCAGTGTAATTGTACACTGGGAAAGAGTCCCAGTACAGTCCCAGATATTTCAAAAGCTATTGTATACAGAGCCTGAGCTATCTCATCAGAGAACCAAAAATGCCATTGTGCCTCCACCCACATTAAAGAGGGAGTGTCTGGTGGCCAGGTGACAAGTGGAGTCTAGATGCAAGTCTGTCTCACCATAGGTCCAGTGGGTCCTTGGACACACCTTGTGGTCATGCTCTGGTCCCTGAGTGCATGATTTGGATGGATAGACTTAGCAGCTGGCAGAACTTTCACGTTAATTCCCTGTCATATGGAATAAGAGCCATCACGATGGGAAACGCCAAGTGGAAGTCTCTGAAGCTGCCCTCCCACTCTCAATACCACATCTCAGGTGAACTGGCAGAGACTAGTGCCATCCTGAAGGACTGCAAGGGTGAAGGACTCCATCATATGGCCATTTAATTCACAGGCATGACCCCTGAAAAAACCAGATGGACTATTGCCGTCATGGTAACTACCGTAAACTTAACCAATGACAGTCCTGATGGCAGCAGCTGTGCCACTGTGGCATCTTTACTACAACAGATAAACACAACTGCTGACACTTGCTTTGCTGCTGTTGGTCTGATGAATGCTCTATTTTCAATTCCTATCAGGAGGAAGGATCAGAAGCACTTCTCACTTACCTGGAACAGACAGCGGTACACATTCACGGTCTTGCCCAAGTCTATATCAACCCTCCTGCTCTTTATTACAAGATAGTCCAAAGGGACTTTGATCATCTAGACCTTCTGAAGAGCATCACACCAGTCCAATCTATTGATGTCATCATGTTAATCAGACCTAGTAAGCATGAGTGGCAAGCACTCTGGCTGTCCCGGAGAGATATGTGTGCACCCAAAGTGGGTGCATAAACCCTGAAAATATTCAGGAATCCTGGTGAAGTGTTTACAGACTCAGTGGACTAGGGCAAACCTTCCCTTCTACCACTAAAAAAGAGGCACAGGGCTTGCTAGGATTCTCTGGGTTTGGGGATCCATAGAATCCTGCCCTGACTTTATCAGGTGAATCAGGAGGCTGCCGGTGGGGACCAAATCAAGAAAGAACTCTCTGACAGGTTCAGGCAGCCCTGCTGATTGGGCCATATGACCTGGCAGCCCCCACAGTGCTAGAAGTATCCACGGTGGACAAGGATACCATATGAAGTCTCTGGCAAGTCCCAACAAGAGAACTGTAGTGCAGACCCCTAGGACTCGCTTAAAGGGCCAGATAGAAAATGTTTGCAGGCCAAGAGGCAAAATCAAGGATATTGTGTTAGGTACTCAAATAACCATTTAAAGTGTAATCATTTATAATATAAAAACAATTCTGGGCTTGTAGGCTGTATAAAAACAGGCGATGAACCAGATTTGGCCTATGGGTCATAGTTTGCTGACTCCTGTTCTAGGGCAAGGTCATGCCATCAGCGGAAAAAAATTATTTACTGTTTAAAAAGCTACTCCTGGTGTGCTCCTGGGCCCTAGTAGGGAGTGAGCACTTGACCATTGGACATGAAGTTACTATGCAACCACAGTTGTCCATCATGAGCTGGGTCTTTTCAGATCCACCATGTCACAAGGTTGGGTGGGCCAACCAGCAGTTCAGTTTAGGATGGAAATAGTACCTTTGAGACTGGGCCTGAGGAGGACCAGAGGACACAAACAAGTTATTCAAACTTGTCACCCACACCCCCAGGTCTACTGCACCAGTGCCTCTCCCTCAGCTCACCCCTATGGCCTCATTGGAGGTTCCCTACGGCCAGCTCAGAGAGGAGGAAAGACCAGGTCTGGTTCACAAATGGGCAGGCTTGACATGTTGGTAAAAACTGAAAATGACTGTTCCCGAACTATGGCCCACACAGGGGTGGCTCTGAAAGACAGTGGTGAGGGGCAATCCTTCCAGTGAGTAGAGTTTCAAGTAGCAGACCTGGCCATCAACTTGGCGTGGAGGGAGAAGTGGGCAGGGGGAAGGATATACACAGACTGCTGGGCAGTGCAAGTGGCTCACCTGATTGGTCAAGGGACTTGTAGGAGCAAGATTAGAAAATCAGAGACAAAGACTTCTGGGGAAGAGCAAGTAGATGGATCTATGGAGGAGGCACAAAGTGTATGGATCTTTGCATCTCACCAACGCCCACCCTAGAGCATCCACCTGAACAAGGATCGCTTATCCAATGGAGGTCAACCAGTCATCAGCCGCTCCACACTTGCACTATGGGCCCTTGAATACAGTGACAATGGTGGTAGAGACAGAGGTTATGCATGGGCCCAACTGCCAATCTCAGTAGCAGAGACCAACTCTGAGGCCTTGATATGGGACCATGCCTCCCATAGCAACAAGACCAACAAGCTACATATTGGTAAATTGATTGCATCAGACACTTCCACCCTAGAAGGGGGGACTGATACATATTCTAAGTATAAGTTTGCCTTCCTGCCCGAAGTGCCTCCACCAGCACTACAGGACTACAGAGCATCTAAGGACTTCCGGTGTATGAGTTGCCATCACGGGATCCCATGAAACATGACCTCAGACAAGGGGCCTACTTTATAGAGAAGGAGGTACAGCAATGAGCACATGACCACGGGATCCACTTGTCGTACCGTACAGCACGTCACTCAGAAACTGCAGGCCTGAGAGAATGCTGGGATTAAATGTGCAGCCAAGGCACCAACTTGGGGATGTAGCCTGGGGGTTGGGATCCAGTATATATTTTGAACCAGCGGTTACTATAGGGTGCTGTGTCCCCAAAGGCCAGGACACATGGGTCCAGGAGCCCAGGGTAGTGTGGGAGTGGCCCCTATCACCATCACTGCCGGGGATCCACCTCAGGAGTTTGTGCTTTCTGTCCCCACAATTCTAGACACTTCTGGACCAGAAATCCTGGTTCCTGGGGGAGGATGCTTCCACCAGGGAATATAGTCAAGATTCCCCTAAACCTCAAGTTACAGCTGCTGCCTGGCCATTTTCGTCTCTTCGTGACATTAGACCAGCAGGCAAAGAAATGTCAATTACTGTCAGAGGCTATTACTCTGATTAGCATGAGGAGCCAGGATCGCTGCCTCACAGCTGGGGCAGGAAGGAGGACGTGGGGTCTGGAACTCAGGAGGTTCACTGGGGTGCCTCTTGGGGCTCCCTGTCTGGTGAAACCACAAGCAGACAGTTGCAGAGTCAATGACCTGACAAGGACACATGATCAAGTGTTCAGACCTCACAGGAATGAAGGTCTAGGTGACTTCACCAGGAAAGTAATCTGGACCAGCTGAAGTGCTGGCCAAAGAGGAGGGGAATATAGGATGGGGGGTAGAGGAAGGACATGAGAATATCATTCAGGGTTTCAGGACCAATTGCAGCAGTGGGGACCATTCGCCCTCTAGGCGTAAGTGTATTTTTTTTAAGATGTGGTGACCAGCCATCATGCTAAAGAAGCAATGCCAGGCCAGAGTGACCTCCACACAGAGCTGGAGTGCATCCAAGTGGTACAAAGCGTGGACTGTAGTGGACACCGTCAGTGCCCTGCCCACATCCTCGGCACTCACCATTCTAGCACGTGTTGACCGTGTTCCACTACAAACGCCGGTTATTCTCTGCCGTGGACTTTTCCTCGCCCATGCATGGCGAGGCCAGAGCTCCAGTGAGTTAATGCCCCCAGCAGCAGCCCTCAGCCAATGAGGGACAGCAGTTGGAGGATGTATGCTCTAGCTTCCTCACCCCTTGGGTGGGATAACCGAGATGGGTTCCATATTGGCACATCTCCAGGTTTTTTTTGGTTGGTTTTTTTTTTTTTGTGAGGAAGATCAGCCCTGAGCTAACATCCGTACTAATCCTTTTCTTTTTGCTGAGGAATACAGGCTCTGAGCTAACATCTATTGCCAACCCTCCTCCTTTTTTTCCCCAAAGCCCCAGTAGATAGTTGTATGTCGTAGTTGCACATCCTTCTAGTTGCTGTGTGTGGGACGCAGCCTCAGCATGGCCGGAGAAGCGGTGCGTCGGTGCACGCCCAGGATCCGAACCCCGGCCGCCAGTAGCGGAGTGCGCGCACTTAACCGCTAAGCCACGGGGCCGGCCCTGCGCATCTCCAGCTTTAACGTGCATGTTTACTGCCTGGGGACCTTGATAATATGCAGATTCTGACTCTCTAGGTCCGGGATGGAACCTGAGAGTCTGCGTTTCCAACAAACTCTCAGGCAAGTCAATGATGCTAGTCCACAGACCACACTTTGAGTTGCAAAGGACTACACTTCCTCTCCGAGTTCCCCAGTAGGACTGAGCCTCAGTTGCCTGAAACTCCCTTCCATTAGCTTCCTTCTCTTCTCAAGTACCCACCCCCGAAGAGTGCTTCTTGGGATCATCTCCCAAATAAACGACTTGTTTTCAAATGCTGTTCCATGCCCGCTTCTGGGGGCCCTCTACCTAAGAGAGTGGGGGATGCACTCCTGCTTCACCCTCCGCAGCGGGGCACTGGGTCAGGAAGGGAGCCCGTCCGAGCATGGGCTCTGGAGGACCATGGGCTTGGGTTCAAATCCAGCTCCACAACCAGCTGTTAGACCCTTGGGAGGGTCACTTAGCCCGCCTGGGCCTCAGTTTCCTCATCTGACAACTGTTTATCAGATCACCCACCACCAGGGTTGTTGATATGATTATGTGTTTAATCAAAGCCCTCAGCACATCACTCAATACTGGAGCTCATCCTCTCTCCACAACTTTGCCCCACCAGAACACACTCGTGTGCACATGCGCATGCGCACACACACACTCGTGCTCCCTGAGAAAGACGGCTGGAGGCTGGGCCAGGTAGCACACAGGTCCTTTATTTCCTGCAGCAGCAGGTACACAGGCCGACAAGCGATATGACAGTGAGAAGCACGGCAGGGAGCAGGGCGGTACCAACAGAGGTCCTGAGCCCCGTACTCCAGCTGTTTATGAGGAAAGGGTGGGAAAGGGAGGAACATCTAGGAGGAGGAAACAAGGGGCACTGAGGGGAGGACAGTGGGAGGGAGGGACTGGGCCTTGGGCGGGAGCCTGGACACTCACAGGCCACAGGCGGGGAGGTGGGGTGGGGAGGCCCACCACCGGGCAGAGGGACTCCTCACCCACATGTAGAGACACTTCTGGTTATAAACAGTAATTAGAGACTGAGAAAAAGGGCCAAGAACGGGGAAGAGGGCCAGGTCCCCAAAAGTCCACAAGGACTCGGGAGCCCCTTTAACCTGGAGATCAAGGGGTGAAGGGCACGTTGTTAGGAAGGTGCTCAGAACAACTTCCTACACCTAGCGCCGGATCCCCGCCTCCAGCTCAGAGCTGGGTCTGGTAGCTGGTGAGCCTCCCCCTGGGCTTCTCCCGCCCCCTGGGCCACCACGTGATCCAGGCCCAGCAGCCACAGCTTTTGCACCAGCTGCAGAACGAGGGCCGGGGTTCCTTCAGCCTATCCCAGAAGAGGGTCGAGGCTTGGGCTCTAAAGCCCCGGCCCAGGTTCATCAGGACAGAGGGTGGGCTGGTGACAGACTGGGGGTCCCGTTCCGGAGGATGGGAAGGAGGGTCTGGGGTGGGTGGGACTTGGCCAGGCAGCGGAAGGAGGGGCCTCAGGCTGTCTGTGGGGCCTCTGCAGGCTGCTGGGAAACAGCAAAGCCTGGAAGAGAAGTGGGGGTGGACATGAACTGGGGGCCTGAGGACCACAGGCCTGGCCTGGGCAGAGGGCAGGGGCCGGGGCCTGGTCAGCTATATTAGAAAGAGACAGCCGCCACTGATAGTTATGTAGGCTGCCCACTGCCTGGCCATAGAAGTCACCATTCAGTTTACAACCTGCACAACCTTACATGGCAGCCCTGAAGAGGCCGCCCAGTCAAAGGGCAATCAGAGTGGGGGCAGTCCAGACATAGTGGTGAGGCTGCCAACAGGTTATAAACTTCATGGCTGACCCAGCAGGCAGGCTCCAGGACAGGGTCAGAGGAGGGGATGGGCCAGAAAAGTCTAATAGCACAGTAGTGAAGGGAACATGCTCAGATCTACACTAGCTGTGTGACCTAGAACAAATTACTTTCACTATCTGAACCTCAGTTTCCTCATCAAATAAATGGGGATGATCATACCTACCTATGGGGGGGTGAGAGTTAAAGGAGATAATGCACGTCACTAAATCCTCTTTGATATCTCTGCGAGCTCCTTAAAAGCAGGGCTCACATGGCACTCAGCAGGTGCGGCTCCCCAACCTTCAGGATTCCAAGCTGGGGAGAGGAGACCCTGACCCACCCCCACCACCCTGTAGGAGACCACCTTCAGACTCACCCAGGGGACTGGTCCGACTGTGGCCCTTGCTGGTGGAGGCCTTCGTCCCAATGGCCTGGGTGGCCCCAGAAGGCCCCTCTTCCTCCCAGGCCCTGGGAGGGTGGTTGGCCCTGTCCTCCTCCAGCCTCCGAAAGTCCTGGGTGGGCACCCCCGGCTGCTGCTCCACGATCCCGCCCCCCATGTTTGTTTTGGCCTGCTGCTGCCACTGCTGCAGGGTTGGGGAGCCTTGGGGATGGGGGAGGCGGGGGTGGGGAATAGGGGAAGGGGGCGGGCAGAGACAGGAAGCTGAGGCGCAGTGTGGGGCTGCAGCCCAGACCCCCAGCCCAGCCCCAGAGAGAAAAAGGGTGAAGCTGGAATCCTATGCAAATTCCATGTAAATGAGCACTGGAGTCACAGTTCCTGCTCAGGGGGACCTGAGGTGCCTATGCAAATGATATGCAAAGTCCATGCAAATCAGCACACTGGGTGGGGCCAGACTGGGGTAAGTGAGCACTTGAGGGGCTCACCTACCCTCACCTTTCATTGGCTTGACGATCTGCAGCTTGTCCGGCTGGCCCGAGGGAGGCCCCCACGGGAGCACTCACCTTTCTGGAGCATCTTCTGCCTCAGCTGCTGCCTATAATGGGCATCCTGCCAGCTGGCCAGTTGCTGGAGGACATACTTCATGTCCAGGTGCGAGGGGCCCAAGCTGCTGGCCTCCAGGGCTGAAGTCACCACATTCGTCTGCGTTGTCTCATCCAGCTCTGGCTCCACCTCTTCCCAGGCCTCGGCCTCCTCTGACACAAGCTCTGCCTCTTCCGTCACCTCCTCCTCAGCTGGCACCACCTCCTCTGCTGTCCCCAGCTCCTCCTCAGGCATCAAGTCTTCCGCAGGCATGAAATTTTCCGCCGGCACAAAATCCTCTGCCGGCATCAAACCCTCCTCAGCCTCGAACCCCTGTTCCTGCTCTTGTGCCTCACTGTAGCGTAGCTCGTATCTGGGCAGGGAAACAGGAAGTCTTTGCATACCCCCCAAAAGCCAACCCCATCCGTGGCCCCCAGCCCCCCTCTTCCACTCCCCCTGGGACATCTCCAGCCCCTGGGGCTGAGGAGCTCTCTTGCCCTTGGTCCCAGTCTACACAGAGACCCTGATGGTTACTCCCTAGTTCTGTCTCAGCCAGGGGAGAGGGGAGCTAGGTACCAGCCTCAAGGTTTCAAACACCCAGCCCATGCCCCTGGTGGGGAGAAGAATGGTCATCCACACTAAAGAGGCCCCGCCTTCCCCAAGTACCCCCCACCCTGCTGCACAGGAGAGACCAGCAGGGACAATATCCCCTCTGCTCCCTCCTACATTATTTAATCTTCACAACCCATCCCACAGCTAGTTGCCATAGGAACAGATCCATTTTAGTAAGGCTCAGACAGGTCAAGTGACTTGCCCAAGGACCAGATGTTCCCAGCTCCTAGGCCAGCACCCATTCACCTCTCAGCCCCTGGTCAGGTGAAGGGAACCCGACCCTTGGGGTTGGTCCCCACATGGAGCAGCCTTAAATCAGACGGCCACCTATGGGGCAAGATTGGAAGGAGAAGGGGGAAGCTCCTTCCCAGGACAACTCTCAGCGCAGCCAGCCCAGAAAGGGGGCCATGTCCAGGGTTGTAGGGTGGCAGAAACTGCTGCAGGTGGCTGTCTGGCTGCTGAAAGGTGAGGGCAGGAGATGGGGGAGCCCCCAGCCAGCTTACCCCAGGTCAGACGTCTCCTCTGTGGTTGTTTCATAATTCCTTCAACAGAGAAAAGGGCCTCATTGTCCCAAGGCAATGGAAGCTGCAAGTGCAAAGTCCCTGGGGCCCCGTCATGTAAAAACAATCCCAGGGAGAAATGATGGACCCAGACTGTGTGGATAGAAGAGACGGTGGTGAGTGGGAGGGGTTGGGGTGAGGAAGGGGGCAGGAGGAGGGCCCTACGGTGAACGAAGGTCAGAAGCAGGAGGGCAAACCCCTCCCACTACAGGAAAGGCAAGAGTGAGTAGGGGCCAGCAAGGGTCTGCAGTCCGGCTGCGCACCTTTCCATAAAAAACACAGGGTCTGAGATAATCCTCCTGATAGATGTTCTGAGCTCCTCAGCCAGGGTCTCCTGGAAACCAGGAAGCGCCTCCTATGGTGGAGAGCGGGGACATTACCAGGTATCCCCACAGCACCCCCGCCCACACTTCCAGGCACAGCAAGGGCCTGAAGCTAGCAATCGGCCAGCAGGGCTGACACAGGGCACAGAGGTAAAGAGGTGGCAGCCAGGGGATCCTCACCAGAGGCACAGTGTATGTATAGTGGGTGACAGAGCCAGTGGACACCGGGGCTTGCTGGCGGAGGGTCTTCACCTCCTCCCGGGCCTCAATCAGCATGCCCCCACACTCCGTGTACTTCTCCCGCAGGTCCTGCAGCTGGGAAGCCGCCCGCAGGCTCTGTTGGGACCCAGGCGCACCCAGCCCAGCACACCTTGCCCACTCTCTCCCTGGGGGGCCTGGAAGCCTGGGCTGAAGCAAGAGGCCCAGACTCTGGATTCACATAATGACATGCAGGGTGACCTGGGCACCACTCCACTTAGACCCCAACGGAACTACCACCTGCCAGGCCCCGTGCCAGTTACCGAGGGCACATTAAGGGACAGACCCAATCCCTGCTGCAAGGAGCTTGTCCTCTCAGGAGAGTCAGGCAACCTCAAGGGCCTTGGGTCCCCCTGCTCTGGGCCAGGGGCTCTCAAGGGCTGGGGCGGGAGCCCAGGGGAGCCTCACCTCATCCTGGAGCTGCATCTGGATTTCCTTCTCCGAAGCCAGTTGCCGCTGCAGCTTCTCAGTCTCAGCCCCATACTGGAAGGACCCAAGACCAGTGAACCCCCATCCGAGGCCTCCCCACTCCACGCACCCCCCACTGCCGGCCAGTCTTCCCAGGCACATCAGAGAGTCTTGGACAGACCTTTAAGAAGTCACAAGAAATAAGGCCAAATTAGGCGGGGCAGTCATGCAGCCTGGTTCCTGGAACACCCTGTGACCTCTCTGGGCCTTGGTCCCCAACTTGGGACAATGAGGGGGCAGGATGAGGAGCTCTCTGAGGTCTCCTCCAACTCTGACTCTGACAGAGAGAGGGGCCTTGGGCCTGGCGGAGCTGAGAGCTCCATGAGGTGGGGCAGGGAGAAGGGGGCTTGGGTCCCATGGGCCATAGGAGGAGGAGGGAGCCCCACACACACCCCAACGCACCAGCTGGCAGCGTTGCTGCAGCTTCACGACCTGCGCCCGCAGCTGGCTGACCTCCCTCTGCTGCTGGTCATGGTTCTCCATCCTGATTGCCAGCACCTCCGACAGCTCAGCCATCTGCTGGCTGGCCTCCGCTGGGGAGGTGGGGGGAGACGGTCAACCCTGGCTCCCCTGGCCTTCAGGGACCAGCTGTGGCCCTCCCAGATGCCTCTGTCTGCCCCCACCCCTCAGCTCCTGCAGAGTCCCTGCAGTTCCACATGGCTTAGTATCCTCACTCAGGTCTACTTTTCAATAAACGTTCATTGACTGACACTGAGCAGGGTACTGGGTGAGCAGTCAACACGACCTGGTCCCAGCCATGCTGAGCTCAAGTCTAGTGGAGAGAGTGATGGGAAAAGAAAATCACAGTAGTGCACGCTACGGGCTACGATGGGGCAGAACTGTGACATCCAACCCAGCCTTGCAAGGTCTGTGAAGCTAAGACCTCTGCAGGACAAGTAGGGCTCCTCCAGGCAGAAAGGAGGACGTGACCCAGGCAGGGTGTGGAGAGGCCCAGAGGTGATCACAGGATGCTGGGAGCGGGAGTTGCTGGGACAGTGGGCAGGTTGGGACTTATCCTTTGGCCAATGGGAAGCCATTTGGGAGTTTTAGGCAGAGGAGTAACGTAATCAGATCCTGGGCTGTGTGCAGAAGGCCCGAGGCAGGGAGACCAGTTAAGAGGTGGCCTGGGCTAGAGGCAGCCAAGTGGGGAGGAGGAAGGAGACTGAGGCTTTCCTAGGAGGTCGAACTTGAGGACTGGCTCCTCCTCCAGGGGCCTGGGGGACCAGGGAGCTGGGGAACCCAGGGGAAAGGAAGGTCAGGTTTGGGCTGAGGAGAACGGCATGAGTTCAGGTGCTGCCATCTCGAGTCTGCATCTCCCCAGCTAGACCAGAACTCCTCAGGGACGCTGTGCCTCCCTCATCTTCATAAACACACAGAGCCAGGCACAGCCACTGCCCAAAGCGCAGCTCTGAATGGCCCCGGCCCCAATGCTCAGGGGGCCTGGTCTCTGGCAGCTCACATAGCTCCCTCCCTTTCTCGCTTCCAGCCCCCTTCCTCTCCCTGCCCCAAATAACAAAAGGAGACTGGCTTAGAGGAGACTCAAAGCTTCTGTTGAGCTCTTTACAGTTTGCACAAAGCACTTCCTCAGCTGTGGCCCTGAGAAGGTCAACAGGGCTGAGATTATTAATCCCCATTCTAAAGACGATGGTTCAGAAAGGTCAAGGAACTTGTCCAAGCTCACACAGCTAGGAAGTGCCAGAGCTGGGACTGGACTTGAACTCAGGTCTCCAAGACCTGAGTTCTTCCCTCTGCTCCCTGGGACAGCCCCCACCCCCAGTTACAATTTCACGTACAAAACTGCTCCACACAATCCAGAATGAGCATCTGCTCCTCCTCCTCAAGGGCATCGAGCTGAGAGGCCTGGAGGAAGGGAGAGAGGAAGGGGCAGGGGAGTCAACAACCCCTGCCCGCGGGCGCACCCTCCTCCCCCATCCTCACCTCCTCTCTCAGCTGGTCATTCTCCTCCTCCAGCAGCCTCAGCTGCTCCTGCAGGGCTTCCAGCTGTGGGCAGTGGTGCAGCGACTCCGACTCCGTCAGAGGTGACCTAGGGGAGAGAGCGATGGGAGTCAGAGGGCAGGACTGGGAGCCCCAGGGCCCGGTGCACCCAGGGCTCCCCCACCCGGGCTGAGCATGGTGGTCTCAACCAGCCCCAGCAATCCTGCTGGCAGGGACACTGTCTGTGTCCCTATTTGCAAACAAGGAAACTGAGGCTCAGAGAAGGGGCCGCTCAGGTGCAAAGGCAGGGCACTCACGGCTCGGGGTCTTCATAAGGAAGATCACCCTGCTGCTCTTCCTCTTCCTCCTCCTCTTCCTCCCCCTCCTCTTCTTCTTCTTCCTCCTCCTCCTCCTCCTCTTCCTCCTCATCATCAGAGTCTGAGTAGAGCTGAAGGAGGTCATCCCGCAAGCTCACCTGGTGTCTGAGGTGTAAAATCTGGCAGGGGGAGAGGAGCCCCAGGTCAGGCCGCGGACGGGGCAGGCACGGGTCCTGGCAGGAGGGGGATGTAGGCAGGTCTGAGATGGCATACCCCTACCCCCTACTCCCTGCCCAGTTACCTCCTCCCTGGCTGAGCCCAGCATGGCTTCCAGCTTGCTGTTCTCCTCCATCAGAACACTGTTCTGCTTCACCAGGGACTGGCCGATGCGAGCTGCCGTATTCAGGTCCCGCTCTCTCTGCAGAGGGACCCCCCCATCCACAGGGAATACTTTCCTGGTTTCTGAGATCTCCCAGACAGGTGGGAGAAGCCAGGGAATACACAGGCGTCAGAGGGAAGCTAGGCCACTAGGGGGAACCCTCACCATCTCGCAGCTCTCCAGGGTACTAGGCACGAGTCTGCCATTAACCCACTGTGGGGCCTGACTCAGTTTCCCCTTATGAAAAAAGAACAGATCAGACCAGAGGGCTCTAAGAGCTCTTCCAGCCTGGACATCCCACATCTACCTGCCTTCTGTAAGAGGGGCCCCCAAAGAGGCAGCCAGGCAGGAAACAGACAAGACTCCCACTCCTACAGGACAGAATTAAAACAGGGGCCTGGCGAAAGCTCGGGCTGGTCCAGGTAGGCCAGGCAGTACAGACCTCCTCGAGCAGATTTAACATCACTTGCACATCTTCTTGGCTGATCTTCTTGCGTGGCGGGGGCCGGTCAGGACACAGCACTGCAAGAGAAAGCACGGAGCCAGGTCAGGAGAAAGGGGGCATACACTAACCAGTACCCCACTGTTTCCTGCCCTATCCCCAGTTCTCCCTCAACAGCGAGAGTCAGCAACAGGGGAGGAGAAGACTGAGTTCCCTTCCTGCCCCCAATATCCTCTCCATACCCCTAGTACTCAGCACTCCCTTCCCTGCTCCCAGGGCCAACTGGACTCATTTTTTTTCTGGAGGAGCTGGGTGAGGTAAGGAGATCACAGTCCTCCAGGCTCAGGTGGAACTGCGCTCTCAGGACGCCTGGGTCCGTGGAACCCAGGAGAATGGAGGTGGCTGGCGGAAGTACCACAGACTGACTCATCACCAGCTACCCAGAGGGCAGCTTGGCCAGCTCATCGGAGCCTCACGGATCATAAACACAGACGCAGTCTCCCACCCTGCACCTGTTGCATGTGGGGAGGAGAGGAGTTAGAGACTTCTCCAGCACTGGAATAGGGGCACCTGAGCCTCTAGACCCAATCCAGAGATCTCCCAGGAGAGGATGGGAGGGAAGAGGAGGGGCAGACTCCGCCTGAGGCCCCGCCCAACCCCAGGCTGGGGAAAAGCCGACCTTGACCCCCGCCTCCAAGAGGCTGGCAACCCCTCCTCCTCCCACACACCTCCCCATCGCGGGCGCGGTGGGCCAGCGCAGGCTCAGAGCGCGCCGGGCAGCGCCCTCCCGCAGCCCCCCGCCCCGCTCCTGGCACTGCGGTAGACTGAGGAGGGGGGCCCTGAGAGTGCTCAGATCTACCGCAGCAACAGGCGCGCAGAGCGGGCCGAGGGAGCGCGCGGGCCCGGGCACCTGACCCACCCACAGAAATCAGGGAGCGAGAGAAGGGAAGAGGAGATGGGGAAGAGGCGACCGGACTGGCACCGCAGACAGTGACACGGCGAGGGCGGGTGGAGGGGTGGGACTGAGTGTCGGGGGAGCGGGGCACCTGGACCCGACGGGGCCCCCTCCTCCCTGGAGCTGCCCTAGTCCCACTCGCTCCGGGGTCCCGAGGACTCGGCTTACCTTCCTCTAGCTCCCGAATAAAGGCGGCACGCTCGGGGCCCGACACCCCCGGCCGCCGGCCGATGTAGGCAGCTGGCGTCTTCCAGATGTCCGCCGCCTTTCCAGTCCCCAGGCCAGTGGCCCGGGGACCAAAGGGCCCTTGAAATATGAAGTGGGTCCATGGCACATCCGAGTCGCCGGGCACGGACTGGGCATTCCCCTGGACGGCCGAGAATGCAGATGCGCCCTGGGATCCTGCCTCCGATCCAGCCTCGGAGGCCAAGCGAACTCCGGCTGGGGGTCCCGAGACGGATGGGGATCCAGATCCTGCTCCTTGTCCAGCCGCCGCTTCAGGCTCGGCGGAGGGCTCGGGAGTGGGACTGGCTGCCGGCGGCAGTGCGGGGCTGGCTGCTGCCGGATCCCCGGTTCCTGGGCCCGGCCGGTCCCCAGCGCAGCTCTGCCCGCAGTCTTTCGGGCGCATCTTGCTCCGCAGTCGGCTGCCGCAGCCGGGCCTTTATAACCTGTGCCGGGAGCGCGCGCCCGCCGGGCCTTACCACGCGCGGGAGGGGCGGCCGAGGAGCAACTAGTGGTGCCCGGGACGGGGGGTAGCGCGGGAGGGCAGCTAATGGTGGCAGAGCAGAGGGTAAAAACAAGAGAAGAGCGAGGAGAAGAGGCCAGTGAAGGTTCCAGCTGGTTCCGTGGGCTTGGGTTCCGAGTGTAGGGCTTTTCCTCCCCTCTCCACCTCCGGAGAATGGTTTTGCCCAAAGCCGCTTCTCCGGGATTCGGGTACAGCGACTCGGAGGTCCCTAACTGGGGGCACCCTCTCCCTCTGCTCCCTTGCAGGGGTTTTTGACTGCCTTCTCTGGGTCTGGGCCGGGGTGACCTGTGAGTTAGGACAGTATTGTGTCTTTCCCCTTGGCTGAGGGATCAATCCAAACTCCTGTTCGGTTTCCACGGGCTGCCTGGCCCGGCGCGTCACAAGCTGATCCTCGCGCTCACCCTGACCCCGACCCCCACCCCCACCCCCGCGCGCTGGAGCCACTGGGCAGTCCCCCCCCCCTTTTTTTTGTGAGGAAGATTGGCCGTGGGCTAACATCCATGCCCATCTTCCTCTACTTTATATGGGATGCTGCCACAACATGGCTTAATGAGCGGTGCGTGGGTCGGCGCCGGGTTCAGGGCCTGCGAAGCCCCGGCCGCCAAAGCGGAGCGCGCAAACTTGACGGCTATGCCACGGGGCCGCCCCGACAGCCCCCTTTCTTATTTATTTGTTTTACTGCCTTTCCTCCTGCTTCACCTCCAGCCCTCATTCACTTTGCCCACTTCCTTCCATCCTGGGGAACACGTGTTCTTCCGGCAGACCCCGCTTAGATGTCTCCCTGAGAAGACTCCTCTGACCCCGTCTCCCACGCGCCAGAGCATTCCTTATTCGCTGGCCGGCAGTGGTCGGAGTGTGTTTGTCTCCAAGAGCAGACTGCCACCCTTCACCGCAGGGAGCGTGTCCCTCGGAGCGCAGCACGGACCAGATACCTACGAGGGTCGCCGTAAGTCCTGCATGACCTGTGGGCTGGCAGAGGAGTCCAGTAGCCATTTCTGTGCCTTTGGACTGGAGGAACCTACAGGCCAAAAAGAGATGGCTGTGGCTCTGAGTCTTTTAAAGCCTTGGGATCATTCTCGGTCCCCCAGTTTCCTTCTCTTCAATACCCAATCACTCACCAAGTCCTGCTTAATTTACCTCCTAAATATTTCTCAAATGTGCCCTTGCCTCTTCAGCCCTTCTGCTGGTGAGGCCTCATCCTCTCTTCTAGATTATTGTGATACTCACCTCTCCCCCCAACCCCATCCACGTGAATCCATCTCTAGTCCATCCCTCTCATACTCCTGTCTGAGCTAAGGAATTCCAGGACCCCTTCTCCATAGCCACCACTCCAAGCCTGAGCCCAGGACAGGCTGTTGCCCAAGGTCTGCACCTAGGACAGAGGGTCCTAGTGCTGACAGCATGCCTTTGGGGCCAGGTGTCCGTGACAGCACAGAACAAGAGACACAACCCAGGAAGGAGAATCAAAGCACCCCTCCACAGTGCTCTCCTATGGAGAAGCACTTGGAGAAGAATGTTTCCGTCTGTCTGAGCTCGTTCATTCATTTGACAAACGTATATTAAGTGCCTCCTCTCTATACCAGGCACTGTCCTAGACTCGCAGGCCAGAGCAGGAAACAAGAGAACCAGACCCCTACTGTCCTGGAGGTTAGAGCCTAGAAGGGGAAGCAGATAAACAAGGAAACAAGATAATTACAGAGTGTGGTGCGTTCTCTGAGAGAAGCAAACAGGGAGCTACTGTTGAGAAAAATGGAAAGTACCCGTCAGACCCGGTGCTCTGGGTGGGAGGGGAGAAATCACTAATGGCATAGGATTTTGCATCTCAGCCCACACCCCCGGTCTTCGCAGCCCACTCATCCCTGCCCCCCTCAAATGGCAGCCTCTCTCCTCAGGAGCCAGCGTTTCTCATTCCTGATTGGTGAGCGAACCCTGGTGCCAATTCGCCTTCCCAGCTCTAAATCCCTCACACCTGCATCAGCCCTGCAGGGATTCACCTCTCTATCAAAGGGGCAGTCCTCACTAGTTACCTGGTTTCTGAAGTCAGGGCTCCAAATGCAGCCCCCTCATGGGCAGGGAAATAAGGAAGTGGTTCCCCTGGGGAACTCAAACTCCTCCCAAGCCTTGCCCACCCTGACCCCTGCTCCCTCTTCTGCTCCTCCTCCCATACAGGCGCCGGGGCACTTCTGCCAGGTGGTTAAGGGTGGCTCAGGCCAGAGGCCTTGGATAAACAGATGGGACGTCTAAGATCCACAGCTGCTCTCTATGCTTTTCACATGCTGCCCTTTTTTATGGTTCTAATCTTTAGCAACTTTAATATTTGTTAGCTTCATTTCTTCTTTCATCTCAACTCTTCTCGGCCCCCTAAATTATCTTCCAATAATTATTCATTCAACAAACAGTTATTAAGCACCTGGTGCCAGGCATTGTGGCAGGTGCTGGAACACATCAGTGAACAAAACAAAGATCTTTGGCCTCATAGGGCCCACATGCAATGGGAGCTACAAATAATAAACAAAGGAGTAAATCACATAGTGTATTAGATGTGACGAGTGCTGTGGATTAAAAGAAAGCAGGGAGGAGGGCCTGGGGGTGGGGGGTGGGCTGTGGGTTGCAAGTTTAAATATTAGGGGGGTCAGGAAAGATCTCACTGAAGAATCACTAAGTCCAGAGCTGAGGGAGGGAGGGAGCAAGGGAGGATATTCACCTGGTGAGAAGCAACAGCAAATGCACAGCCTTGCAGCCAGAGGAGGTCAAAATGGCTAAAATGGAACAAGGAGACGGGATTGTGGGTGATGGGGTCAGGAAGGGGGCAGCAGGGCTGATGGACCACCTTACCTGAGTCTGTGGAGGGCTTCTCATCACAGGAGCGACACGATCTGACTTAAATTTTAGCAGGAAGGCTCTGGCTGTTCGGCTGAGAATAGACAGATGGAGGGGGGGTGTCTTAGTCCCTTCAGACTGCTATAACAAAATACCAACAACAGAAATTTATTTCTCACAGCTCTGGAGGCTGGAAGTCCAAGATCAAGATGCCAGCAGATTGGGTGTCTGGTGAGGACCTGCTTCCTGGTTCATAGACTGTTGTCTTGTCTTCCCCTTGTGTCCTCATGTGGAGGAAGGGGTGAGGGAGCTCTCGGGGGCCTCTTTTATATGGCCACAATTCCCATTCATGAGGCTCCACCCTCATGACCTAATCACCTCCCCAAGGCCCGACCTCCTAATACCATCACGCTGGGGGTTAGGATTTCAGCATATGATTTGGGGTGGGGTGGGGGGACACAAACATTTAGTCCATAACAACCTTATAACTCTTTTTGAAAAATTGGGCCGGCCCCGTGGCTTAGCGGTTAAGTGCGCGCACTCTGCTACTGGCGGCCCGGGTTCGGATCCCAGGCGCGCACTGAAGCACCACTTGTCCCGCCATGCTGAGGCCGCGTCCCACATACAGCAACTAGAAGGATGTGCAACTATGACATACAGCTATCTACTGGGGCTTTGGGGAGAAAAAGGGGAAAAAAAAGGAGGAAGATTGGCTATAGATGTTAGCTCAGGGCCAGTCTTCCTCAGCAAAAAGAGGAGGATTGGCATGGATGTTAGCTGAGGGCTGGTCTTCCTCACAAAAAAAAAAATTATTAAAAAATTAACAACTTTGGGCCGGCCCGGTGGCTTAGCGGTTAAGTGCGTGCCCTCCTCTGCTGGTGGCCTGGGTTCAGATCCCGGGAGCACACCGACGTACCGCTTCTCCTGCCATGCTGAGGCCGTGTCCCACATACAGCAACTAGAAGGATGTGCAACTATGACATACAACTATCTACTGGGGCTTTGGGGGAAAAATAAATAAATAAAATTATAAAAAAAAATTAACAACTTTATTGAGATATAATTCACATACCATAAAATTCATGATTTTAAAGTGTCCAGTCAGTGGTTTTTGGTATATTCACAGAGTTGTGCAACCATCACCACTATCTAATTTCAGAACATTTTCATCACCCCAGAATAAAACCCCATACCCATTAATAGTCATTCCGTATTCCCCTCTCCCCCAAACCCCTGGCAACCACTAATCTGCTTTCTATCTCGATGGATTTCCCTATTCTGGGCATTTCATATAAATGGAATCATACAGGATGTGGCCTTTTGTGTCTAGCTTCTTTCACTTAGCACAATGTTTTCAAGGTTCATCCATGTTGTACTATACATCAATACTTCATTCCTTTTTTTTCAAACAGCTTTATTGAGGAATAATTGACATTTATAACTGTACATGCCTAAAATGTAAAATTTGATGTTTTGATATAACGCTCATGAAACTATCATCACAATCAAGATAATGAGTATTTCCATCACTCTCACATATTATCTCTTTTAAAAAAATAAAGTTTATATTTTAGAGGAGTTTTAGGTTTATAGCAAAACTGAGAAAAAAGCACAGAGAGTTCCCGTATACCACCTGCCCTGAGACATGCACAGCCTCCCCCATTATCAACATCCCCCACCAGAGTGGTACATGTGTTATGACTGATGAACCTACATTGACAGATCATAATCACCTAAAGTCCATAGTTTACATTAGGGTTCATCTTGGTGTTGTACATTCTGTGGGTTTGGACAAATGTATAATGACCTATTTCAAGCATTATTGTATCATACAGAGTATTTTCATTGCCCTAAAAATCCTCTGTGCTCTGCCTATTCATCCCTCCTTCCCCCCAACCCCTGGCAACACTGATCTTCTTACTGTCTCATAGTTTTGCCTTTTCCAGAATGTCATAGAGTTGGAATCATACAGTATGCAGCTTTTTCGGATTGCCTTCTTTCACTTAGTAATATGTATTTAACGTTCTTCCATGTCTTTTCACGGCTTGATAGCTCATTTCTTT